CTATTTGTCCTGGGGGCTGTGGAGGAGCAATATTTTTCCAGTTGTAGACCCCAGTGCTGTGTATGGGTTGCTAATTCTGCCCACTTGCTATGATGGCTTAATTGAAGTCATGGCCAGTCCATGTCATCCATTTCTGCATCCATGTGATTGTGTTACTAGTATTATTGTGACACCTTTGCGCCTTAGTGTATTCATGGTTTACGCACCAAGAAAAGGAATTTGTTGGATTTGAGATCTCCATGTGTAAACAGAATATGATGGCCTCAAAACTGTCTGAAACCCATGGATGTGCAAATTAGGATTAGAGATTCTGTCATTACAGTTTACCCAGGTTTCCTGAATTTGCAAGATGCCGATTTAGCTTATAACCCAACCTTTATGCTGTTCCTGTTTTCTGCACAGAGTTTTAAAACATTTTGGTTGGTGTGAAAACTATACAGTGAACATTATGAGCTTCTATTGAAAATTTGATTTGTGGAAGTTTGTATTTTGGGTCTTCACCCACAGACCACCTCCTGTTGTGTTTCTCTCTGGCTTATACAAATATCCACAGTCAAAACCAGGTATTGAAGTTGGAAACCCACCTCACTGTGTTTATATGATTCCTCTACTGACTATTTTGGAGTCTTAGATCCAATTAGGACAAAGCATGTGGTGCTGTGGCTCATTATTTTGATATTGTTTTACCAGAAGAGCTGCAAGCATCAACTTTCTCATAATGTCTTCCACAAAAATATGGAGAATGCTTATATTAAGAAGATAGATATCACTGTTAGAGATTCTGCAGTGTGAATGAGAGTAATCTGCATAAATAGCATTTTTCTCTGTAGCTCATTAGGAGAGTATACTGTCAAGGCAAAAATGACTACTGACAAATATGAGAAGAAACATGAGACAGGCAGGAGCCACTTAGAGTCATCTCTAAAAAGTCCAGGTTCTCAAGAGGACTTCAAATAGCCTTTTCTGAGCTGAAGGAGTGTTACCAATGCTGTCTATGTCATTTATGTTCTGCTCCATTGCATCCTCTTTAAATGTAATGAAGTTCTGAAGTTGCTTAGGTGGAGAGAGTCTTTTGATTGGTGTTTAGGCATTATACATGAATAGGTTAATGTCTATGAACCTCCCAGTTGGAAGTTTCTAACACTAACTTACAGTTTCCATCAGAGATCAAAGTAATTTACCAACATAAATTATTTATACATAGGGCTGAAAGAAATTCATAGTAACAATAAGGCACCTCCATGAGATAATCACCATACCAGAAGCACTCATCTGTGCCTCGTAGCCCTGCAGGGGTTTGTAATTATCTCCTGCAAACCACACCTCTAGTGATTGCTTTTTGTTGCTTCATTGCAGTGCTGCCACTTGCAGTATTTTGCCTGACAAATATTTTTAAAATTAAACACCCCCCCCCAAAAACAAAAACCCAAAAAACAGCTTAGGAATAGAAAACTTGTGGCAGTCATGCAAAGAGAAAATGTTAAAAGTACAAGAAATATTGAAGAAATGCAGTTAATGCAGATTTTAATAACAACAAAAAAAGTACTAAACGTGATTCTGTAGGCATTTGAAGAGGTGCCTATGCTTTTTCTTCAAGTTATTCACTGGAATGAACCCATCATCTGCTGCCATTTCCCATGGCCTGCTGGTGATCTATGGAAAACTGGCTGTTTACGTGATGCTGGCTTCTTCTCTGTGCTTCCTGCAGCTAAAATTACATTAAAAGAGGCTAAAAATGCATTAAATGCTCTCATAAAATCACTCTTCTGTGTAGACAATTGCGGTATTTGCACAGAAGCATAACATGATTACAGATGGAGAAAGGCTGGTGAGAGGTGATGGTCTCCGTGGCAATAGCTGTGTTTGTAAAGTATCTCCTCCAGCCTCTGCTGAAGCGCTCAGATCACAAGCAGCAATGCTAACACCGATTTATGCTTGCTAAACACACTCTAGTCTCAACACAAGTACAAAGCAAAAAAAAGAAAAGAAAAAAAACCGAACCAAGCAAACCCCAATCAAAGGAACAATTAGAAGCATGGTATTGATTTAAAAGTACCTTCCAAAACAGATGTTTAGATAGTCTGTCAGTGAGGTGAGTTTCTGAGGAATACAAGGGAATACAAGTTCCTGTGTTGCTGCAACCAAAGCTCTGCCTAGTGAATTTAGAGGTGAGGGCAGAGCCCTTGAATGTCAGGTGATAGGTGACTACAAAGGTCTCTAAGATGGGGGACTAAAATGAGCTTTCAAATATAGCCCATTACAGTCTTATTCAGAGCCCCAAGAATCAACCAGGCTAATTTAAACCAAGTCTACCATGTAACAGAACAGTGACCACTGGGCGGCTGGGTGAGCTGTGATCATGATAACACAAATCAATAAGCAATTGATTTCTTCCATTCTGAACAAGCTGCAAGTGATAGATCAACTTAACCATGAGCCTAGCCAATATGGACTTCCAAAACTGAGTGTCAGGGGAACAGGAGTGTGTTTTGCTGTCACTGTAGGCTCGGTTAGAGCCGGGCATGAGTTATGCAGATTGCACAGCTGAAATCTGTATTTCCATGATCTGAATCTAATGCTGGGATTTATAACAGTATATTCAGACAGGGAAGAATAGTAAGTCCTTCCACAGAAGTGCAGTCCATGCTGTGAAAGACATCTTATTAGGTTATTCTAGATATGAGTTAAAAATACAAATTTTCTGATATTAGGATCTCTTCTTTTGAGCAAGGTCATAACATCACTGTAGCCCTCCTGGGTCAGATAGAGGTCCCTAAGACACTGCTTCCCAGCCAGCCCATTTCCAGCCTGAAGAGTCCTGATCTACTTAGCTGTTCCTTCTGCAGAAGCTGTGTCATATCTTTGATCATTCCTAATCTTTCCCAATTCTATCATATCCTTTTTGAGGTGGGGAGGACACCATAACTGCACGAGTTTTCAAGATACTGGCGCTTGTGCATTCTGACAGTGTTTTTGTACATGACAGACACATTTAACATCATGAGCTATTTTGTTGTGTTCTCTCTGAGCATTTCCTAATTATACATAACTGTGTTCTGTATGTTTTCTGACCACTGGTGATCACTGAGCTGATGTTTTGCAGGTAACTATCTATTACAATCCCTGGATCTCATTCCCAACTTGTAATAATCAATTCAGAGTCTGTCACTTTATAAATGTTGCGTTATTATTGCAGTTTCTAAGTTTTTTAAAATTAAAAGGAACAATAACTACAGGATGCCTGCCGTTCTTATATATACCACTCCAGTCTTTTGCTGGGAACAACAAAGAATTCCACATCCCCAAGGAAGTCTTCTGAGACAAGCCCACGCACTTTTTGATAAGGGAGGAAGATGTAAACTCTGAAATATGGCTGAGTATCTGGCATGCATCCTTCAGATGGATATACTGCAGATGCTTATCCACACCTGGATAAAAAGTGATTATGTATAAGAGCTATTGAGAGGAGAACTGCTACTGACACTGAAAATTTATCTTGGTGGATAAAGTTCAGTTTCTCTTAAATGACTTGGAAGCTTGAGCTCCCATTTGGAAAGGAACATTTTGGTTCCTTTTACATGGATGGTAAAGTCCTAAGGACATGGGTGGTCTTTTCTCTAGGAAATACCTGCTACATCCATGAATATGTGAGCCAGTTGCTCTCAATAGTGTTCCCCCAGCTTTTTAGGTAAGGTTCTGACTTTACCTCTTTCCCCTTGGCTCTTTGAACCTGGTAGATTGTCATGTTCTTTTTGCATTTGTGGTATGGGGAAAAGGTCCATAATTCCTGCAAAAAATTACCTAGTGTCTTAACAAAGAGCTTGGATACACCCCCAAAACTTTTCAACAACAACCTTCCAATTTATCCTAACAAAACACTGGATCCAAAGAGATATTTCTTGATAGACATGTACTTTATACTCTACTGCCAGAATAAATTGTAGATACAGACATGTGCCATAAGAGCTAATGTCTTTGAAGGAGAAACACTGCTGTCAAATGCTTTATTGGACTGTTCCGTGTAACCTGATTCTTCTTGTCTCAAAAGCAACCTTGTTACCCCCCTAGAGAGACTGTTGTGCCTGAAAGGAAGGAGGAAAGCAGCTCAGATCATCCTAGTGATCATTTTTAAGCAATGCTTTCCTCCCTCCCTC